AATGAAATGAACTTTTATTTTTCCAGAAAAAGGACAGTAGTTTAGTCCTAAAGCAAAGTGTCTACCAGTTCTAGAATACTAAAGAACACAATGAAGATCAAAACTTGAGTGTGTAAATTACATTGAGGAAGGTTTGAAGACATGATTTTTATTTGCTTGAATTTCTTTTCCTGAGAGAGGATAACTTTTAGATGCAATCTTACAGAACAGAAACTCTCAAGTCTTGGCTCATAATTAGGAGCACAAAAAGGATGAGGGGTAAGTCCTGGCAGTAAAAATGAAATGGACAACTCACTGCATCAGACCAACCCAGAGTACAAAGAATGCATATAATCTGGATTTCCCAAATATTTTCTAGAATAGCAGAGAAAATGGCCTGCTTTCCCCAGGAAGCACTGTCTCCTGGAACAGAATTCAGGGAATGCACCTGGCTGATCTGTGAAGGCGTCGGGCCCTGGCCACCTCCGCAGCAGTTCCCATGCGCTATACACCCGTCCCCAGCACTGGTCTTGATCCACAGGCTGGCGCCTCCGACACCCTTCACTTCTGAATCTATTAGCCAGTACCGATGGGGAGAAGGCTAACAAAACTACATAAGCTGGATTATTGTAGGCTTTGTATAATGTTATTGGGTAGTTATTATTGACATGATATATTGGACAAAGAGAAACAAAAACAAAAATTTTACCTCACAGGGCTTCTGTAAACAAAGCAAACAACAACGAATGAAAGGGAGACCAGCTGGAACAACGTTTGTGAGTTTCGGTCAACAGAGTCTTCCCAGAATGCTAGATAGTGAAGTTCTAAGTGTATATGAAAATACTGAGGATGAACAAACAAAATATCTGATTAAAGAGTGGCACAAGAGTATGCACACAGAGAGGAAGCCGTGGGTGGAATTGAGATGGCGGTTTCCACGCAGGGCTACCCCAGGCCTGAGGGCACCTCGGGGGCACAGCTGGGCCCTGCAGGAGGAGATGTGTGCTGCAGGGTGAGCACAAGAACAGGACTCCTCACCTGTTTTATATGCTGGTGTTACCCAAAAGATGTTACCCTCAAAACAGCTCAAATTATTTGAAAACCAACAATTGAATAAGGATAAATGTACACAGCACCCTAATTTCACATTTGCTATTTTCCACCCAAACCTGAAAAGAATGATGTAAAATCATGACCTGCAAAAGGCTGAGAAACAATCATAGGAGACAGAAACAAAGCAGGTCCCCTGTACGGTTCGAACTTGCCTCTTTAGTGCAGCATTGTTACTATCTTTTGTCAGTTATCATCCACGCAATTTATTCTATCAGGATTTTCAATGGTATTATCATAAAAGTCATTTTGCTTTATAGATTCATTAAAAAGGACTGGAGAAATAATTAGCGTGCTAAAGTGTCCTGTGTACACAATCATAAAATTTATGGCAGCAAAAACTAGTGGTTAATACATTCAATATTATTTTACTATAAAATTAGAACTAAATCTAGGAGGTGGAAATAGTTATCACGTCACTCAGCTAAGTTTACAAGTTCCCTGTAAGAGGCAAGGCTGCACAAAAAGAGAGAACCAGAAGGAGGAGGAAGAGGAGAGAAGGGAGAAGAGAAGGAAAATAAAAAGAAAAATGTTAAGCCCAAGTAAATGTTTTGAAAGTGACTGAAGCCCAAGTATCGCTCATTGAACAAAAATTTACCGAGCACCCTCTATATTTCCGGCATCGTATGAAAGGGAACGGCAGACCTGAAAAGCTTGACAAAAGAAGACTTGGAAAGTAAGACATACTATCAAAGAATAAGGACTCAAACTTTGTAACTGCACTGGATGACTTAGGTAAAAATTCACGGTAATTGTTCAAAGTACTTAAAAGGTAGCAACAGTTGGAGATGTTTGTTAAGGAGTGAAAGCAATCCCAGTGAAAAAGGTTTCTTGGGTTGGGGTGGGAAGGCAGGAGAAAAGATTTTTCTATATAGGTCTGTTTTTTTAACAACCCTTGAAAATAGTGTGACCAAACCTGAAATTAAATTGAAATAGTTTTCTCAAATAACAAAAAGTTATTAAGAAACTAAAGCAAACTAAAAAGGTATAATACAGACCCTTATCCTTTTGAAGCTAAAAGAAACTTTAAAGAACATCTAATTCAGAACTTGAATTTTGTCCACAACTGAGTTCTGAAAAGTAACTTTCCTGAGGTCACGTGGTGATAACTTTATAGTTTTCAGTTTTAGTTTAAAAAATATACATATTACCTATTCTTTATAAAATATTAAATATTCCATACTAGCTGAAATCTGACCCCCCCCAAAAAAAAACCAGACTGGGGTCATTCAACACATTGGTTTGCATTAATTCCCAGTTGAAAGAGAAAGAGAGAGAAGGGGAGGTTGGGGGAGGTCCATAAATAAAAAACCTATCCACACGAGAATGACACCATACTAACCATAATGCTTTATAAATCCTTAATATAGTATTTTTCTGTATCAATAAGCACATACAGCATAATTTTTTAAATTACTGACTGGAGGCAGCAATCAACTGTTCCTTTTGTAATTTTCTATACTGGTATCATTTAAATAGTAAACATTTAAATACTGTGCAAATGAACATACAAACAACAGTGATAATACTATAATAATATAAAAACATGAACACTACCATAGATTTAATAATGAAACTACTTATTTTCATATTATATCCTCAGTTTCCATATGCATATAAAATAAAAGGTATAGACAGAAAGATCTCTAAAATTCCCCTGACCTCCAAAATTATAATATATTGGACATATTTTATACATTTTCCTATAGGTTTTTCATAAGACTTCCTGTAACTATTTTCTTAGTAACTTTCAAGCTTACTCTTACTTCACTGAAGAACAGTTTAACAAACTGCATTTTAAAAAGTTTCTTATTCACATATGCTTATTTAATACTTATAACTATGTAAGCAAGATGAAAATTAAGTCATTTGTTCAATACCCCATAGCTGTGAGTAGAGAGAATGGAACTAAGACTCCTGGGAACATGATCCAAAGATTCTGCTCCTTTCATTACATCAAGCCGCCTTTCTTTCTTTTTTTTTTAATAACTATATGTTTTATTTTTTAATATTTTTATTTATTTTTAGAGAGGGAAGGGAGGGAGAAAGAGAGAGAGAGAGAAACATCAATGTGTGGTTGCTGGGGGCCGTGGCCTGCACCCCAGGCATGTGCCCTGACTGGGAATCGAACCTGCGACACTTTGGTTCGCAGCCCGTGCTTAATCCACTGGGCTACGCCAGCCAGGGCAAGCCACCTTTCTTAATGCAGTCACCAAGGCACTTATTAACCATCTATTACAACAACAAAAGAATGACTGCACTAGGAAAACATTCATTTAAAAAGACTGAAGGCACACACACACAGGTGAAAATACAAAAACTATGCAGGAGAACAAATCAATAAATAGGTTAATAGAAAACAAACCCAATTTCTAAAATGAGTGATGAAAAATGAATAGGTCTGAGTTTAGAACAAAAAGGAACTGGATGAGGGCCAAATGCAAACTTTTCTACCTTTTTGTTTTTAATCAATTTGCATTTTGGTTTGGTTTTGTGGTCCATTTATTTAAGAGGGATTGTTCATAATAATTCAGTATGGTTTGAATACTACTAATAAGAATGATTTCCTGTCACTTTAGAATGACTTTTAAATGTTTATGAAACTTAAAGAGAAATAATGTAGATTTTACAAATACATTTAGCTCACTTGGAAAAAAGGTTCTAAATTAATAATGAAAAATATTTCCTACTACTATTATATAATTCATTCATGGGGCAAAGAGGTGTTTTTTTTTTAACTATTCTGAATAGAGGAAGACTGTTAATAAATTACTCTTAAACATAAAATGCTAATAACCCATTTTCTTTGATTTAAATGTGATTCAGTCAGCTGAATATTCATTCAAAAGATTCACTTCCAACCTTCCTGCCCAATTGAATGGCAATTCAATTAAGGCTGCTGACTAAGATGTGGTCCCTAACCTCATGGAAAGAGGTGATACTGATGGTGTGGTCTCCTGTGTAAATAAATCAATTTAGTTCCCATTGGGAATCATCTGCGTATATCAACATATGTTTTTAGTATCTCAAAGGAATTAATGTTACTATGGGTCTCAGTAGAGATTCAAAAATTATTTTCAACATGCTTTAGTATTTCCTGAGAAGATGTTAAGTGATATACATTTAAGCCTTGAAAAAAGTCAAAGACAGATATTATTTATATTCCAAGAAAAGTAAAATGACATTTCTTGGAATTTGGCACTCATAGTTTGGGGTCTACTTTTATTTTTATTACCAGCCTTCTGCTTCAGCCCCCACGTGATGCATCTGTAGCCTAGTGCGAGGTTTAATCAAAATCTAAAGGTACTTATTGCTTGAGATGATGAAGGCTAAGATGAAAAAATGACCCGCTGATGCTCTGGTGTGTGCCCAAATTACCCAAGGTGGATGTTTAAGAAAAGACCGCCAGCCCCTGCTCCTACTGAGTTTAATTCCACAGGTTTATGTGGCACTCAGGAATCTGTGTTTTCAGACAGAACACGTTTTGACAAACATTGACCCCCCCCCATTATCATCATCACAGAATTAGAGTTCCTATTTTCTGTCTGCTGTTTCTCAAAAGTGCCAGAACTATTAACATTTGTTTTGATATTCTGAGGTGAAACTATATGCTGATTTCCACAGCATGTGTTCTAAACTAATATATACATCCATCCTTCTTTCCCCTTCCTACTAGATAAAGAGATAAATGGATAGATACAAAGTTAGACACAGATAATAGATCCATCCACCCATTTTCATCAGGTATTCTGCCTATAAGTCGGAAAGTAATTCAAGTGTTTTAACATTTTCCACCTATGAGAAATACTCTAAAATTCTGTCCTAAAACATCGAAAGAAAAAAGCTACCATTGAAAGAAATTCCTAGACAGTTTCCTAGACTTTAGTTATCAATAACAGTAGTTAGCTTACCTGCCATCCCGCTGAGCAGCACCACCTTCTGTTACTGTCTTGACAAATATTCCCAGCTTTTCAAGTCCAGCATCTGCTCCAACACCCATTCCAATAATACTTATGCCAAGTCCGTCCTCATCTACAAAAAAGGAGGAAAAATACAACAGTAAGTGTTACACTAGTCCACAGTGAACTGGTGAGATCTTTCCCTTGATTTTGCTCTTTATGGACCATCACAGAGTCCATATCGTATACACTTGCCTGGGCAGAAATTTTTTTCCATGCTGGGAGCGCAGGTGTCAAATACGAACCCTCCAAAAGGCTCAGAGTTCAGTGTCATTTTATTACTGCAGTTAGCTAGTTATGTGATCCCAAGAAAAGGTAATAATCTGATTACTGTGTAATCAATTTGCCTTAAAAACATGGCCTCTCTAAACAATATGATATTTTAAGTACAAAAGCATACATAGTTAAACACATATATATTCTTTCATTTGTTTGTTTTGGGAAGGTAATAAAATTCTTGAGTCACACCTTTTTTCTTGAGAAAAGAAAAAAATGTACTACTGTCTTTCAGTCACTTCAAGGCCTGTCTGATTTTACTTTCATTAGTTACTCAATTTTTTTGCCCTGCTTTCACAAATAATTCTTTGAGGTTCAGTAATTTTATAGTAACGTAACTCTAGGTTGATCATTCTGGCTCAACTATCTCTGGCTGAGCCATACATATTATTTTAAATAAATGTGATCATAATATATATAGAATTTCCCATTTTACGTGGTCTTTTTTATTTGTTCCATATCCCTATTCATGTTCATAAGCTGGTATGTGTCTTTTAGTATTTATTCTGTCCTTATATAAGGATATAATAATACCAAAAACTACAGCATACATATGGCTTGCTTTTCTTCCCTATTTGCTTTACACAAATAAGGTCATATGATACCTAGTTCTCTCTTCAGCTTACTTTGCTAATTCAATAATACCTCATGGGTATCAATTTACATAGCTTTAAATCACTTCTGATGATTGCATAATATTTCATTGTGAGATGGTATCGTAACATATGCAACCATTTCTCTTCTGTCAGGCATTCATGTGCTTTTTTTTTCATTTTATTAGCCCTGTGAATGATGCCGACAAACACCTTGTTGTTGTTGTTTTAATTTTTTAAAATTATTTTATTGTTGTTCAAGTACAGTTATCTGCATTTACCCCCCACCACTACCCCGAAAACACCTTGTTTTTAATTTACTTACAAATTATGTGTTTCTGCATACTGCCATTTGTCCTTTCTATGAACATATACGGTATATTTTCACATCAGTGAAATAAATGATACACTATTTTGCCTTCCACATTTTTTGGTTAACGTTCAAAGTTATGTTCTGATAGCCTCAAAGACTTTGTAATTATGGTATATTGGCTGCATAAAAAATAGATACTAGCTAATCGACAGTGGTGGGCTATTAAAGGGAACCTGGCTCATGTACTCAAGAGAGGTCTGGATGCTTTTAAAGGACTTTTGAACAATAACCTTTGATTTAGTTAAGTATTCTTAATTAGTAATCCTTTGAATTGGATTCATCTCATTGATCATTACTTGTCACCAACTTCTGCTTTAAGTGTTTCTAAGTACAATTCATAACCTTACCTCCTAAATAAAGATGTATTAAAATATGTCAGTTGGCCAAAGTGGGATTTATTTGCCCTGCTGTGTGCTAAAGAAGGACTGACGGAGTGTTCTCCCCCAAGAGATGGCCCGGTGTGGGCCCCGGCCTCAGGCGCTTCCCCACCGGCCTGGGCACACGTGTGACTTCCCATATTTATTTAATTCCCATTGATCATCGGGAGGCTGTTTCTTGCTAAATGTTTCTATATTTATTAGGGTTTTAAGGGTCTCTCCCAAGAACGAGTTTTCTTGTGCACATGAACATTTGGTCTGGGTTGAAGGCTCTCCCTTACTGATTACAAGCATAAAGTTCCTTCTCTTGTACACGAATTCTTATGTGTATGGAGATTAGCTGTGTGGCTGAATTCTTGCCCACATTCGTAGGCTTTCTACAAAGTGTGAATTGCTTCACGGTGATGAAAGGCTCAATGAGGACCTGAAGCCATGTTTACATCCAAATGAGCTCTCGTGTTGTTCGAGAGATCACTGTAGATTCTCCCAAACTGAATAATGTCGTAGGGTTTCTCTCCTGTGTGAAATGTCTAGTGTCTGTTAAACATTAGCTGAGTTCTTGTTCACATTCTTTGTATTTATAGAAGCCTCTCTTCATTACGAATAACCACATGCTGGGCCCATGTGCAGCTGTAAATGAAACTTTTCCTTTCAAATGCCAGCTCTCTGTACTCTTATGCCATTCGATAGTTTCTTCATGCAAATATCTTGCATGAAAATTACGTCTTAGTTCTTAAATCCATTTGCCCTTCCTGGACTCAGACTTCAGTAAAATTATCTCTCTTCCTTCTGTTGCCCTAATTGGAAAATGACTCAGTTTTGCAGAGCTGAAAACCTGACTGTGGGAAATACTCATTTGAGCCATCTTCATTTCAGTGTGGAGTCCCTGAAAGACGTGGTGATAACTAAAAGGCAATTAAAAGAAGAGTAAAATCAACCCACAGAGACCAGGGGACTGTTCTCAGCCCTGTCCAGTTTTCTCTGAGATGCATCAAGCCTTAGTGGAATCCAGAGCCACATACTTGAAGGCCTCTGATTCTTGTAGTGACCTCGTCTTCCTCTGTATATACACACCTAGGGAAGGGCATAAAAAGGGAAAACAGCCAGGAAAAGGCAGAAAAGACTGTGAGGCTGTGTTATTACAGAGGATGTTATCACCATATTCTGGAGTTCAGAGCTTATTTTCTCTTTCAGGAAAGCAATTCCTGTTGGTTTAGCAGTATTCCCATTTCTTGTGATAAATTCAAGCTTGCATTAATATGAGCGTGGGCCATTAGATTTCTTCTTCACTAAATTGCCAATTTTTCTCCTGAGTTCACTGTGTAACTTCACAGTGCCTCTTACTGTGGGTGGGATATGCATTCGCAATCCATTGAATTTGGGATGGGTGAAATGACTTGCTTCGGTCAATAGAACGGAGAGGGAAATAACTGTGTGCATTTGTCAGCAGATGCCTGGAGGAGAAGCACACTGTGCTTCCACATAAACTCCCGAGCGCCTGCGATCCATGAATGAAACAGCATTGTGCACTGCTGGTGGGAATGTAAATTGGTGCAGCCACCGTGGAAAACAGTATGAAGGTTCCCTGAGAAATAAAAATAATTGTACTTTGTTTGGTTCTCTTCCAGTTTAATCTTTCCAATTTAACTTTTATTATACAATATAGCATACAAACAAAAGTTTTGCGAAATCATTTATCTACAAAATGTGCTTAAAAAATATAACAACCATACATGTACTAACAAAGACAAAGAACACTACCAATACCCCAAAAGCCTACTCTGTACCCCTCCCCAATACCCAACTCTTTCTTCAGTAACCATTATCTGAAACAGTGTGCTAATCATTCCCTCCTTCTCTTAATCCTACCTTTTAAAGCCACTTATTTGTGTATCTCTAAACAATATAATGGTCAGTTTGTCTTTGCTTTGAAATTTAAACAAATGGAATCATACTAAATGACTTCTGTGATTTATTCTCCCCACCCCTCAATTTTATGTTCGTAAGAATCATACATAATGGAACTGTGGCTCTTCCATTTTACTGCTGAGTAATATTTTATTGAATAGATAGGCTATGATTTACATATTCTTTTCTATCATTGATAAATACTTGGATTGTTCTCATTTTTGGTATGATAGCCAATACCATGGCCCACAGCCCAATCCAGCTCATATATGCCACAAGCTAAGAAAGAGTTTTACATGTTTAAATGGATGAAAAATGCAAGCATCATTCTTACATTCTATTTAAGATTAAATGAAAGTGTCATTTAACAGGAATGATTAGCCATTCACGCTTCATGTCGTGACTGGTATTCTTCATATTTTTTTTCATGCAACCAATTTTATGCTTAATTACTTACATAGTTTTCAGCTCCTTCCCCTCATTTTTGCTGTTTTCAACAAGTTGCTTGTCATTTCTCTCCCTCCCTACTAAAAGTTATGTGGGTGGTAGGTTCTTTAAAGTCTTCTGTATCAGCAAATTTCCTTCTTTCCCCTCTGGGACGGACGTAGGATACTTCTTAGACTACCACCTCTTTCTTCTCAGCAGGATATGAAACTGTATGTATGTCTCCCCCCTTGCAGTGTGACAAGTGAGAGGTCTGATGATAGTCTAATAATTTTTGCTTTTGCAAGTACCTTTGCTCTTTGTTTGCCTTGATTTTGGCCTGGTATTTTGTAAGGTTTTCACTGTATGTTTGAAGGACAGGATTTTCCCCAGCTTATGCTTAAGTGTTTTTAAGCATAGAAACACTTTTTAAGTTCTTGCAACCAGTTGGCTAAGCCCTTTCAAATACATAGATCAGATCTTTGAGCTCAGGAAAAATTCTTCTATTTCTTGTCTAGTATGTCTTTTATCCCCTACTTCCATTTCCCCTTCTGTTACCTATAATGTGTATGTGGGGTCTCCCTCATAATTTTTCTTGGATTTTTGCTATCATTTGAGAATTAATTTAGGACATTTCTTATGCTTGAACTTCTATGTCACCAATTTGACCTCAATGACAATCACCCTTTCCTCTTTAATTCCTCTACTGACATTTTTATTTTTAAAAATCAACCTATTTTTCACTATTGTTAATTTTATTAAGAATTCCTTGTTAAAGCCATGCTTGAATATCCTTATTTGGTTTTGTGTTTCACTGCCTCTTTTTTTGTTATTTGAGTTATATCATCTGTTCTGCTTTCTTCCTTAAACTCTGAGATGTGATATCCTTCTGTTCATTGGTCAGAGTCCAGTTCCCAGCTTCCCGCCTTCCTTGACCATGAACATAACAGCGCCCGGTCCTGTGGTCCCCAGTTGTTGCAGCAGGCAGGCTATGATCCCAGGGAGAGGATTCAAGGGGAAGCCACTCTGTTCTGGGTCTCCCTGCTCTCCTTTAGCCCTTCCCCCTCAGAGATGAAGAGGATTCCACTGCCTTCAATCCCAAACCCATAATTTTCAAAAAGCCTAACACTCCCCATATCTACCACATTGGGAATCTAACCATGACCACACTCCCTCCACCAAAAAAGCACAAACCAAAAAACCCAACCACCTGCCACCTGGCCCAAGCTCTCACGTGCAGCAGCTCTCTTGGGCTCTCACCTCGCCGGCCCTTTGCTGCAGTGTCAACCCAGCAGCTGGGCTCGCTCATGCCTCCCTGCTCCTAGCCACCGTCCAGCCAGCAACTGCAGATGAGTTTCAGTCAGAAGTAAAGGGGAGAGAGAATCTTTCAATCCACCATCTATATAGAATTTAGATTGACCATTTTTGAAGTTTAATTAATAAACTCCTGAATGAGAATTAAAACTTGACCCAATCCTCAAGGGGGGAAAAGCTACACTTAGGAAAAATCAAGTCATTTCTGTATTATTAACATAGCAGTGTAATATTATAAACATTGTAGAGCTCATATACCTTTTTCCAGTTCCACTGGGAAAAGATCCAGCTTTTCTACACGCTTCTCAAGTTCATACTCGGCTGAAGCAGCCACTGGGTCAACCTCATCATTCCTCCTGTCGTAGTCTTCATTGGAATATGTGCTGAAAACCTGTAGGAAGAGATCAACAAAAAGATGATCATTAAAAAGATGGCTGTCAGCCCTGGCTGGCGTAGCTCAGTGGATTGAGCGCAGGCTGGAAACCAAAGTGTCTCAGGTTCGATTCCCAGTCAGGGTACATGCCTGGGTTGCAGGCCATGGCCCCCCGCAACCACACATTGATGTTTCTCTCTCTCTCTCTTTCTCCCTCCCTTCCCTCTCTAAAAATAAATAAATAAAATCTTAAAAAAAAAAAAGACGGCTTTCTTAATCACGAAGAAAAATCTAAGTACACAAGAGTACGTAAGTTAAAAATTTTGTATTCTGAATTTCATCTAAACAACTGCTTTGTTTTTAAGATCAATTGAGAGTTTGAGAAGAGGAAAAATGAATGAGCATAAACACAGCTTATTTTTTTAAATGTATGAGTCATTCTACCACTGTTAACAATTTGGGAGACAGCAAAATAGCCACAGCACACATTTGAATAGCAACATCAATCCCTTTTTATAGAATCAGAGCACACCACACTAGCCGCAATGCTGGCTCCTGATAAAACCAAGGTAAAGCGTCCTGAAGCCACTACCTAAGCAAACACCCACACTGACCCTGTTTCATGGTGTGAGCTACACAAGCTCCAACACTGTCGTGTGTCAGAACTGTGATTATATTTCAATCACAGAATCACTGAAACTGATTTCTTTTCTATACTGTACATGGCTGTGTTAAACTCTCATTTTACTTGCTTGTAGATTTAAATGAAATTCTCACTGAACCTTTCTATGTAATGACTATCAAACTCGCACTCAAGAGCAGCGGAACAGATAGGAGAATGCCAGCTCTTTTTTCCCTAATCATTCAAAAAGCTACTAAATGTGGTCTTCAGACACTGTCACGAAGAATTTGATTGCCCTTATTTCTGCTGAACTATTTGTTTGTTTGTTTGTTTTTGTAAAAAATAAAACAGGTGTACAATACCTTGCTTAATACACAGAACAATATTTAAAAGAAACTTATAACTCATCAAGTCCAATTAATAGGTATAATAAAAACTACATTTTCAATTAAATTCAAAAATTTACTATCTGAACTGTACCTCAAAGAACTCTGTAATATCTCCCCAAATCTTAAAAACTTGGAATGAGTTGTTTTTAAAACATATACATAAAAAGCTACCATAAAAACAGAAAGCAGAAACGAAGATCAGAGATAGAAACAAAAAATCAAGTCCATGGCCTACAACGCTTGCCCCACTTGTCCAGCTGTGCTTTCCATGCACACGACCGGGAAACTGGCAACTCCTGGGTACTGTATGTGGGAACCTATAAACCAGAAACACACACTGCCCATGTAGCAGCAGGCGTAGCATGGTTGCTAGTGGCATACACTTCTCAGAACCGTGCCATTTATAGGACTTATACCATGACGAATTCTGTTTTTCTTCCTGACTTTAGACATGTTTTCACAGCCTCATGCCACTTGCTTGGTCTCTATGATGTTTCTCCATCACAATAAACATCACAACGTCAAAATGCACATTCCTAAATGCAGCTTGTTCTGATTTTATTCATCTTTTCATGTAACATGCTTCTTCCTATTCCTCTCATATAGAACCCTGTAATATTTTTCTTAGATTGTCAGGTTTATGATGTTCTCTTAGTGCTTTTGACCTTTCACTTTCCTTATATGTTTATAATCTCTTATTCTTTTTCACATGTATTCATTTACAGTTATTCATTCATAAAAAATGTTAGAGTGCTGACTCCATGCCAGATGCCGTGCCACATGCTGTAGAAGGCACGATGCGAGCAGCTCACAGCTTAGTCGGAACACAGAAGTCAATATAAACAACTACGATATACTGTGATAACTGATATAACAGAGGAATATACCAAGATGTCTTGTTTTATTTGCCTGAGATAGGGAAGGATTTCATGGAGGAAAAAATATCTGGGTTGAGTCTTAAAAAACAAACAAAGACTCCTATACTTGACTGTAGAAGAGGCAGAATGTGAATGTCAAATATAAGACCTTAAACAATCAAATCTGTGCCTGTGTCCTTCAGAAAACGTCAACGGCTGAGTGGACAACAACGTAACATGTCTAGGGGAGCAAACCTTAATGACACAAACAGAAAAGGTAGCCAGTCTGGAACTTGCATGTCCTGGAAACTACTGGTGGATATGACTGAAAATCAGTCCATTAATATTTGCCACCCATCTACTTTCACTAATAGATCCAAGTATATGATTGCAGAAAAAGGATTCAAATGACATCCACTCTGGAATATAGCTCAATTTTGCTACTGCCTAGTAAGTAAGTGGATATATATGTATGTATGCCTAGTGTGTGTAGATATAGATTTTAAAAATGTAACTTTGAGGGAACTGTTTCAAATAAATTAACACCTTCCTGCCTTTCTCCAGGATCCAAAACCACTATAAAGGCATACATACATATACATATACATATACATATACATATACATATACATATACATATACATATACATATATATATATATATATATATATATATATATATATATATATATATTTAGTTTAGTCACCTTCACATTGTTCCTATGTTACTTGACTGAGAAAAGCAAATAAAAGCAAGTTTAAATATAGGTGTTCTTGCTTCAGAGCCAACAAGAGATATTCTGCTCCTTTATCAAAAGAAACCAAACAAGACCTTGTCCTTTGCTTTGCAACAGAGGCAGACTTTTAGGGGTAACAAGTTTATGAATGCATTAGCAATGACATTTCTGACCCAGTAATCCAAGACTATGAAAAACAAATAAAGCTAAAATTAGCATATCAGAAGATTTCAACTAAAATCATTCTTTTTCACATTTCTGGTAGTTTGAGCTACAACACTGTTTCAAAAATAAGAAAGAAACTTATTTCCTTAACTTCCTTATGACACATTTTTGTTAATCAATGTAGGTCAAAACCAATTCAGGACTTGCTGTAAACACTGGCTGGAAGGAATCTCCCACAATGCTTCTATAAGCTCTGAGCATCTGAGTTCCGCTTCATCTTCCTGACGACACATCGAAGATGGACAATGTCCCTGGCGCCGGCATGCTGCACGCACATCAGGTGATGGCTTGGCACAGCACGCTCCTGGGGATCTGCCCGACATTCACATGCTCCCACAGACACACCCCACTTCTCACAAGCTTACATGGTAGAACTAACTCACCTTCCCGTGATTTGAGTGGCTCTGCTAAAGAGACTCTAAGTTGAGACTAAGAAAGCATGGAGAGGATAGTCTATGCTTGAAGTTTTAAAAACAAATTTGGCAATAAACCCTGCTCAGAAAGGAGGATCCTGGCAGCTTTAGAACAAAGTGTCATAACTTCGGCCTTCCTTTTCTTTCCCCAGAACCAAGGCCAGTTCACTGACTTATGATAATGCCAGAGAGAGCTTTTAATGCCTGCTGTGTGCTAAGAGTGTGTTAGGTCCTTGTTGCAAAGTGACCTAAGCCAAACTGGGGTTCACAACTATCAGGCATTTGGGCGTAAGCACTGGTGGTCTCCAAAGATTCTAAACAGGTGAGGGCTTTTTGCTGCGTATAAAAACACTGATGAGTAGGAAGGTGAAAAAGCAAACCCACAGCTCTATCTTGTGAGCTCAGCAATGTCCCAGATGTCTATCCTTAAGGTACTCTGACAGTAACCTGCATGGAGGTGTCCTTCAAGTAGTTGGGACAGTATTCTACAGTGGAATGTGTCTAACCTTCTAATCTGATCACTCAACAGAATCCTACATATCAGAAAAAGGACAAAATGAGTACTAGAATTAGATGTTACTTCAAAAGCTATTAGCTTGCTGGTCTTGCCTGACTCAAAGTCCATTAACATAAAATACTTTTAAGGCCAATCCATGTATTTTCAATATTGCTCATTTCACCAATTATTTATACAATAACACCCTTGGTATAATCTTCCTGTGCAGATTTAAAGTACCTGTCTCTGAAGCACAGACTTCTAATTAGGGTCTTTCAAATATTAATTAACTTATCCTAGTGAGGATTTGTGATTAGTATACATGGAATGCTAAATTAACAACTCCTAAAACAAAGTTAAACCCATAACTATTGTGATGTATATGATAAAGTAATTGGAAATAAATTACAGATAATATAAAACATTACACATATTATCATTAACTCTGGTGCCAACTGATCCATTAACTACGCCACAAACAAGTAAAAAGAATGCCCGCTTTTCATATATTTTGCATGATAAACTTAAAACTCAGAGAGCTATACGTGATGTATATAAGGATGATTAAGGAAGACAAAGTCTATAAGGACAAAGATATATTTCATTAAGTGTAAGCCTAGTGTTGTCATGGGTAACTAAAGAACAGGAAGTGAAAAAATAAACATACTCCACATAATGAACAGTTGAGCCTACAGCCAGCTAGTTCAAAAGGCAATACGAAGAAACCTATATTTGTCAGGGTTCTCCAGAAAAACAGAGCCAACAGGATGTGTGTGTAAGTATACATATGGTATTACATTTGTATTTATAGTAAACTTGATTGATTCTAAGAAATTGGCTCATGGGATCACATAGGGAGGCTGACAAACCCAGCACCTGCCAGGTAGGCCTGCAGGCTGGAAACTAGGGAAAAGTGGCTGCTGCCACTGAAGTCCAAGGTCAGTCTGCTTGCAGAGCTCCCTCTTCTTCATGGGAGGTCAGTCTTTTTCTGTTAAGGCCTTCGGTTAGTTGGGTGAGGCCCACTCTCAGGACAGAGGGCAATTTGCTTTCCTCAATTTAAATGTTAAAGTCATTCAAAAACACCTGACAGAGACATCTAAAATAGTGTTTGACCAAATACTTGGGCACCATGGCCCAGTCGAGTTGACACATCAAATTATCCATCACAAATCCCTTAAAATAAAATATCCTCTGGCTTGAAAAATGACTCTTTTGACATCTGAAAAAGATAATCATATCTTGATAGTGTTTTTCTCACATCATTTGGACTGTTGTAAAT